AGGCAGGAAGTTTAAAAAAAAAAAAAAAAACCTTATCTCTGCTGCACTTCCACATTGCAGCATCATCGCCTCCCAATATGCCTCAGAAAATTGTATGTGTGCTCGGACATATACCTGAAACCATTTTGTGCATGCAAATGTGTGCTCTGAATTTTCTCAAACCGTGTTGTGTGTGTGTTTGTGTGTGTATGCCATTAAGGGGTTAAATAATTACATACATTGCCCAGCCTGGCAAAGTATGTAAAAATAAGATGGGGAGAAAAAAAAACAACACATTTTAAAGACTTTTAGCAAAACCAATAGCTAACTTTTAGTTGGTTGGTTAATAATATGACAGTTCCCCTTTAATACAGTGAGTGTATATAAGCTGTGTATGTATACTTGTTTTATTGGACTAACATACTTAAAAGACTTTCGAGAGTTTTCCTCTCTCTTCCTCAGATCTGAAGCAACCTTAGGAAGAGAGGAAAACTCTTGAAAACTTGTCTTTTAAGTATTATGTTCGTCCAATAAAAAGGTATCATTGCATATTCTGGTATTTTGGCATCTTGTCTACTTGACTAATACGACTCATCCAGTATAAATATTCGGGCAGCTTGTTGTAGTTTTCTGGTTTTGTAAAGTGTCTGTAAATATGACTGTTTGCAGCATTTCTTTGCAGTGTCTGGTTAAACACTCACACACAGCTGTTAAAATAGGCTAAACCTGTTTTTGGGTTAAATGAGTACTATAATTTCAGGAATACAAACATTTATTCCTAACACTATAGTGCTGGAATACATAGACCCCACCCCCTCTCTGTAGAGATAAAGTAAATTTTTTCACCTTTACTCCACAGGCACACTGGTCTTGCCGCAGTGCCAATTGAATCAAAGCATCTCAATGTGAAATATCAGTGCTGCACACTGTGCAGCATTGACATAGGAAGCACCTCTAGTGCCCCTCTGAGCGACTGCCACTGGAGGTGTTACTAGCCAGCAACGTAAACACTGCCTATGTAAATTTGTACCTATCAGTTGCCATTTGTGTTTTGTGCCCAGCAGAATGAGGTAATTGGTTTTCCCGATGAAGCAGCTGTAATTTGGTTACTATCAATGTCACTTTTGCTAACAAGCTTATACCACAGTTTTACATCTCTTAAAGGGAAAGTAAGGCGTTTAACAGGATATCTGTTATGAAAATGTAATATCTAGAATGTTCTCCGTGATTTTATGTTTGCATACAGAATCAGGGATTTTCTATAAAGACTGGCACTTGGAGCTGCAGAATCTGTCTGAAATGTAACCCTGATATTGTTGTATGGATTTTTGTGAACTGGAACTAATGCAAAACAAATACAAATGCTCCTCTTTAAATGAACTCTAAACGTGTATTTGTAGTAATTGGCTGGGGTTTTCTGAATGAATCCTGATCTTTTGTTTTTTAATTGCCCCATGTTTGATCTTTATCCTAAAGAGCAATCATATACATATTCTCCCCACCTTCTCATGACTTTACAGAGGGACTGGGGTTACTCACTTCATCACCCCAGTAAATGCAATTTTACCGCTCACTAAAGAAATGAATGCAGCGGAAATTAGTGTTAAAAAAAAAAGAAGTACTTCTGTGTTATGGTGACTGTACCAACCAGGTTGTCTCGCTGTTGGTATATTCTACATGCGCTCTGAGAGTCCACAAAAATTATAAAATTTTAACAAGTTTTAGCGGATCAATAGCTAACTTGTTGATCTTTACGCTAGCGTTGCACACCTCTGGTTTCTGGTTTTCACTTGATCTTGTTGTATTTTACTCACTTGATTTATTATTTATATGTGGTTAGTAAAACACTGTTGAATTTGTGGCAAAGTATTCTGCTAGCTTCATTTTCTCATCTGCGGCCCTTTGTCTAGGTGCACATTGTATCGTTAGTAACTCGAAGTCGTGCTAGGTGTGTCACTGATAAATAAGTGTCTTAAATGGAATAGCTGTTTGTTTTGGACCATGTCATAACTCTCAAGTAACCGTATTTAAGAGGGACTGTTCTTATTTTGTTCCCGAATCACCCAAAATTTCTCTGGACAGCCTGCCCCTAGCTACACCCCTAAAATTATTAAAGTGTCCCTGTTGGTCCATTTGAATTGATGAGCGGTATTATTACTTCAAATGCATGTGTGGCTATATCTGATACTACCCTGATCAGCTGTTATTCTAAATCGGAAGGTTTCAGCTACAACACCTGCTACTTTTACAACGGGGCGGACATTTTGCTTTAACCCCTTAAGGACGCATGACGTGTGACATGTCATGATTCCTTTTTATTCCAGATGTTTGGTCCTTACGGGGTTAAGGGATCACTATAGGGTCAGGAACACAAACCTGTATTCCTGACCCTACAGTGTTAAAACCACCATATAGGTAGCTTGCTCCCTACTTAGCCCCCTCAGAATGGGTTAAAACTCACATTATTTTCAGCTCTCCACAGGGCTGCTGACGCTGGCGCCGCCCCCTTGGTGACATCATCAAAATAGCCGATTTTTAGCCAATCCAATGCTTTCCCGTCTAAGGAGTGGCCACTTGGCGGTCTTCCTAGGGGCAATGTAAACACTCTGAAAAGGCAGTATTTACATGAAAATACCTGAAAGGAGCTATTATACTCACCAGAACAACCAAATGAATCTGTAGTTGTTCTGGTGACTATAGTGTCCCTTTGAGATTTTTCTTGGACATGCATGTAAAGTGAAATGTTTATATGTTCTATATTTAACATTTAAAAGGCTTCCTTACAGGTTTCTAAGATACTAGAATAACAATAGAGGTTATGTTTTTACAGTTTCACTGAGCAGTAAAAAAATAGCTGTATAATTAGTGCACACTCATTTGCAGTCTTAGCATGTAGGTAGCCATTTTTGTTTGTCTATAGTTTTTTATTGAATATTTTTCAAGGATAAAATGACATACAGACTGTGTACAGTGAGCATTGAGATAAAGCATTGTCCGAAATACAGTTAGAATTAAGTGAGTTAACCATCAACAGACGTATGATAAACAATGTGCAGAACAGTGTTCTGGTGATAGTACTGAAGCGATCTCTGGCCATTCATGATATAAGTATTCACATCAGACTGGGGAGTTAAGGGTGGGTACAGAAAGAAAGTAAAAGGGGAAGAGAGCTGGGAGGTAACAACAGAATGATGTGTTTAATTGTTCGGTGTTGATTAATGCCAGGGAGAGTAGGTTCATCCACAAGTTCCACATCTCGGTAATTTGCTCTTGCTCTACACTGGACATGGCTGATATGCATTTATTGATACAGTATTGGCTACTTTTTTCTATTAATGCACTCTTTGTGGGGCATATAGTACGCTTCCAGTTAATGGCTTTTAAATTACGGGCAGCTTAAATAATTAGTGCCACCAGTCATTTGAAGGGATTAGTTGCACCAGGTGGAAATTGTAGGAACAATTATGTAGTTGGGTCATGAAAGGAGCCATTTTGTTTCACAAGACTCGACTCATTTTCAATCCTAAATTAAAGGTCAGCTAAAAGTAAATATCAATTTTAAGGCTAAGGTAGTTGAACTGCTGAACTGCAGCGGAAGCTCCCTCAGTGGCTGTCAGTATAACAGCCACTAGAGGTGTATTTTAATCCTTAGAGGTAAACATTGCCATTTCTAAAAAATGACAATGTTTCACAATGCAGGATTAAATTGACAGGACCACTGCACCCAGGCCATTTCAGTGAGATGGGTGACTTTAGTGGTCCTCTAAGGGAAGGTTTTAATATAATGTGAAGGCTTGTTTTTTTTTTGTTTTTTTTTTCTTGTAAATTGCAGTTTTAAAGATCTATCTAGCTTCTTATAGATCTTGTCAGCTTAACTTGCACATGCTACTCTCTGACTGTTGATGTAACCACATCCATTAAAGAGACTTTAAATTATGTTTTCCTGTATTTTTATCACCAAGGACCTTTCTTGCATTATGTCTGCAGTTTCTCCAATAATTTACTACACCCAGAACCTTTTATTCCAGAACACTACTAATGTAATATAGATATATCATCATGTCATGTTAATAAAAAATATATATTTTTTAGGTTTGTCTGTTTACTTTGCTGCACTACGTGTGTGGCATTCTCGCATAAGTTTATACATATACTGTATAGACAAAAGCCTGGTTCCTCTAAAGCCCAAACTAATTTTAGTTACATATATGCAAATAATTTAATCTAAATACTTAATTTTTCTTAGAATAGGCTTTCATTCTTGCATTTGTTTTGTGGTCTCCTCAAAGATTATTATTGTTATCAATTGGCCTTGGGACCTTTAATTCACTGATTAAACCTTGCTTAGTCATCTCATCTCCCTCTCGTTAATTAGCCACAAGCCTGATATTCATTCTCTGAAACTGCTATGTTTATAGAAGAAAGAGTTAATCCTAGATGGACCTGGCACCCAGACAACTTCATTAAGCTGAAGTGGTCTGGGTGCCTATAGTGGTCCATTAAGCTAATTGTCAATATAGTCTTAAAGGGATACTCCACTGCCCAAATAAAACAAAATCACTGTTTAGTAGATATACCCCCCAAAAACACGTACATTTAACTACAATTAAAAAAAATAAAATTAAATTAAGGTATATCTAAAAACAACTGCAAGAGCTGTGGATGTTTTGTCTACAGCCTTTGCAAGCCCTCCCCTTCTAACCCAGCCCACCCTTTCTGTGGCTGCCCAATGCAGCTCAATGAGAAGAATTTGCAAGGCTGGTGCATTGGGCAAGTTCTGCCTCTTGAGTTTTACTCCACTGAACCAAATAAACCAGGAAGTAACAGAATCTGTTGTCTGACAGCCAGAAGTTGTAACAAGGTTAATTTATAAAAGTGAAAATTTCTATTGAAATCTGCACTTTTTGTCAAATGAAAAGATAGAACACACTCCTCGCCCGTAGACCATTTCAGCAAACTGAATTGCTTTAGGAGTTTGAAGTGTTCCTTTAAGCCGCTGGCTGGCAGTTTGTTTTGTTCAAACTTTAACATACCTGAAGCTACAAAGCGTTCTTCTACACAATGACATTGGTTTTGGGTGACGGGTGCCAATGGAGAAGCTTGCCACGCAGCATGCAGATGGTTAAGACTGCTCATTGGCGTGGTACGATGATCAGAAGGTGTTCTGTGTTAGTTTAATGACCAGATGTTCTGAGCAGCTTAGATACATGAATGTATATCTACCTGCTTCTTTTTTTTATCTTCACTTTTTCTTGTTTCTGGGGATCAATGAACCCGTACAGAAGCTCTGTACACTAGGTAGATAAAAGAACCTTATTCCTACAGAAACCTAACACAACACACCATGTAAGGTAAGACTGCTGGACAATCTCCAAGGGTCAGGTTTGCGGAATTAATCTCCTTTGCAGAAGTTTCTATCTCCTCGTTTCATCTTACTTGCATTCATTGGCGCTTGGCACCAGTTAAGCTCATTGATTGTATGACTGTCGTTGGTCTGCTGAGAACAAATAGCCTGTCTTGTCACTTCCAAAATACAAGGTGATTAAAAACATTTTTTTATCTTTTATTTTTTTTAAATCTGTCAAGTAGTTTATTTTCTGTTCACTTCAGAAAATGTAGTAATTATGTAGCGAGGTGGCATGCAGGCTCTTGTCATTCAATCGTTGTAGAAGTCAAAGCTTGTATAGCCAGGCTTTTTGTCTTATATAACTGTGTGGTGAAAGAGACACTCCGATATTTAATACATTATATTGTAATGTATGAAAAAGTAGAACACTCTCCAAAGTTTTCTGATCCATGCAGGTTGGAAAGCGGCTTACACCTGTTGGCCAGTCCTAGCCATCCTGTTACGGTGTGATTGTTTATAGTCTATACATGATTTTATGAGTTTTAGACATTACCGCATGGGTACAACTGTGCTACTGGCTTATGAGGAAGAAGCTGTTATAGCCATTGGCAGAGGTGTAGGGGCTTGCATAATGTGCATACAAGTACTTGTACTGCCGTGAGGGGAATCCTTATAACTTCAGTGATTTTTACAAGTTGCTGCAGCATTATGTAACCTAGAGAAGCCAAAAGGGGGTGGGGGGGATTTCTTACACCTCTTCCAGGATTATGCTTTGTAATTTTTATTGAGCCTTCAAGAGGAAGAGCCACTAATCCTTACTTTACAGTAAGAATTACATTAAAACAAGACGCATCTTGTGGAAAAAAACCAACCTCAGCATCCCACAATCCATAGCTCATGGGTGCACATTAGGAGAAATGACATGTGTTGAAGGTAGGACAGCACTCTGCAGCCTTTACTGTTGTTCTAACATTTAATAATGCTAAAAGTTTTTGCTCATTTTGTTTTTGCTAATTTCTTTGACGTACAGTAGACCGGTAATAATTCTTTGGGAGAGAATGTTGATAATTTTGGTAAAGTTGAATTTCCTCTTCATTCCCCAAGATCTGCATGTTTTTGTTTAGTTGTTTTTTTTTTTGTTTTTTTTTTCACGTGGTTGGAGATAATCAACTTGTCATCAAATTCTCACCCTTGAAAAATGGTGGTTGGATTCTATCCAGTGGTTTTGTGCCAAAAAAAGCAGCATCTGATTTTTTTTTTTTTTAATGTATTTTTTATTTTATTTTTAAACTCAGAGGAGATGAAGGCAAACCTTATAAGATCTGACCCAGAAACAAAAATTGTTCTATTTGCTTGGAATCCCCTTAATCTTTCTCTCTGCCCTGTAAGGCTCCGGCTGTAAATCATCCTTTTCCTAGTAACGTCTTATTGTAGCAGTTCAAAAATAATAGTCCAGTGCACTAAAAACTCAAGCCCAATACATGTAAAGGCAGGGAAGTCCCATATTTATTGATCACACATTTTTTTAAATACCACTAATAAATGTTTTGAGCTTTCAATATACTGCACTATCTGTGGGTTTTTTATTTCTCTCACCTTCCCCTTTTGTTATTGTGAGTCATTTTTACATGTAAGAAGATTAAGGAACAATATTTCACATTGACTTTCCTGCATTTCTTTGTATTGGACTAGAGTTTTTAGTGCTCTTGAAGGCCCTTCTAGTACATTGCCATTGACCAGGACTGGGGAAATTGCCAAATATCTGCTATATTTGTCGTTAACCAGAGCTGGTTATACTTCCTTAATCATCGTTTACTGAAAATGATTTTCTAAGTAATTCCATAATTTGTATAAATCTTTTCATCTACCTCCTGTTTTTATCAGGAAGCACTAAGTTCATCTCCCCCCATCTACTTTCTCTGTGTTCTTTATTAATTAGTTTTGATTTGATCCTCAGCCCAGAGCATCGCTTGGGACTCAGTTTCCTTTCCATTTTTGGAGAACAATGCTTTGGTCAAATTCTTTCTGTTCCTTGTGCTGATCTGGAAAACATCCGTTTAGTTTCTCTACTTTTCACTTTTCACTCTGGAAAAAGTAACTGAATAGGCCATGGTCGTCCCCAGACAAACAGTAAAATTGGCCTTTAGTTGGTCTCCAAGCTCTGCAAATCTGTGTTAAAAAACAGACAGAGATCCTTTTCTTAAGTGTATGTTTGCCGAAGAGCAACTTTATATCTGATTCACTGTTGTTAAGCTTTTTCAATGACAAAATAAGTAGGAGTAATGTTTTTCTCATTGCTAGCCGATTCTAGAGTTTGCAAAGATTATTATAAAGAACTGTGTGTCTCACAGAATTGACGGCCACCCACAAAGGTAGCCAGTGTGTGTGTGTGTGTGTGTGTGTGTGTGTGTGTGTGTGTATATAATATTTCTTTTAGCCTTTGTTGAAAGAGTATGCTGTAAAATGTGGATTGCCCTTCAGTCAGCATTCTGATCCCCCTCAATACAAAGTTATTTTCATTCGAAAATAACAAACTAGCATAACATTTATTTGAAATATGGGATGCATAATTGGCTGTCCAGTAGTATATTCGCATAGAAGCTTTTTTGGGGGGTGGGGTGGGGGGCAGAATAAAATGTCACACTAAGATATATTATATTGGAATTAAAGGGGCGATACCATGAAGAGAGAGATTTATGCCAGAGAATGGCTGACGAGATAGGTAGAATGAGAAGAAGAATTCGAGACGTAGTAGATGAGACCGATGTCAGAACGCATGAGATATTGTAATCCGAAGGGATCAGTTAGTTTACCAAGAGAGGAGCGTCTGAGCATACAGAATTTATTAGAGGTATTGAGAGGATAGGATAGCGTGAATGAAGTACCAGCTTGTCCTTATTGTACATGAATGTAGCTAAGCACATTGTGATTCTGTTTATTCTAAATAAATAAAATTGTGTGCTAGTTCACTGGTAAAGCAGGTTTTATTTATATCACTGAATTCTCAACAGCTGAAAGCCGCGATGATGGTCAGGCCCGGATATATAGTTTGTTGATTTTTCTCTCGCATCTTTCTGGGGTATAAGGTAAAAGCAAAAGATTCCCTCCGGTGCTGCTCTCGGTAGCAGGTATAGAAGGCAGTTACCAAATATCGTCTATCACCTGCATGTCCTGTAGTACAGCTAGCACAACGAGAGACACCATAGCTTCCTTCAGGAACAGATTTAACATAACGGAGCCGCCCCCCCTGGACCCAGGCCTCAAATGTTTGCTTCGTACGCATTAACACATATATAAAATTGAAAGACCACTTTGTACTTTTATAAACCACTGGGATTCGTTCTTTCTAAAATATGGGCAGCATCCATTGTATTCTAGTTCCTGTTATAATAGTGTTATTTAAAACAAGCATGGCAGATATGTTTATAATAGCATTGTTGTGACTGTTTGGGATTAGGAGCTTGCAGTTAGTGTTCTGCACTGTCACCAGCCTCTGCCAAGCTGCAGTGGGGTCTACAGGCCTTATCAGCTTTCATGTCTGTGAGGGGTAAACAGCTGTACCACATGCTTGGTCGATATGCAATGGCTCTTGCAATAGAGCTGCATTCTCAAAAGGCATAGCTATAAAAGCTATTTCACGTTTTACTCAGAGTATAAAAGGAATCCGTACTGGGATATGTTTGTTGAAAAGCAACCTAGACGAGTTGGCACAATTCTTTCTGTAGCTATTGTATCAATGCCATGCCACTGCGTAGAATATTCCACCAACCTGGGAAAGCAATCTTCAATCATTCTATTATCTCTGTGAATTGCTTGGCAACAGTTGTCAAATATTTCATTCCGTGTTGATTTTACAGTATTTCTGGGCTGCATTGCTTGCCTGGACAATTTGGCAGCTCTCGGTGTAGGGAGACAAATAAATTCTGGTCGGTCCTGTTATCAAACCATCATTGGGTCACTCGGTCACAGTGATTTGTGGGACAGAGAGCCAGCAGCTGCTGCCCAGCTTTCTTTTTCAGAAGCCAGGGTTGTCAGTCACCATTCATGCTGTGTTTAAGGTTTATCCTGGTACACAGAGAGAGCTGAAATAGCAGGTCTATGATGGACAGAGACTGCAGAACCACCGTAGAATGTTTCAAGGGTATCTCAACATTGGTATTCAAGTATTTTAGGAGTTTATTTCCTAATCAGTGCATTTTCAATTGGTTGAAAAAAATAGTCAACATGTAAAAAAATAAAAATTAAAAACCAGGGCTGCTGCAAATATTTTATCCAACTTATTTAACCCTATATTTGCAATGCATTATCATTTCATTTCAAACATTACGCGCAGATTATTGAGTTATTTTGGTGATCACCACCTCCGTTCTGTTCGTGTAGCCTGTCCTGCTAGGCAGCAGACTTCTTCCTGCTTAGGAGTTCAGGAGTTTATTTACTAAACATTGCATTTGCAAATGAGCTTTAGCATTAGAACAACACAGACCAGGACAGGGGTCTCGCTTGTTGTGTATGCTATGCAACCGGTTATTTACCTGTGCATAGAAATTTTGAATAGTGCGCAAGTAACTTTTTGTTTTCTTTTTATTGTATGTATTGAGGCTGATGAGTACTATAGTCATTGCTGCCGCCCAGGAGTGGTGGGAGTTTGAGCGCTGGGCTTTTGTATGTAAAAAAAAATAATTTGCTTTTTTTTGTTCCAGATTTAATTAATGGGGCCCAGGAACAGTGTGAATTGCCTCCCATGGACGGCTACCCTCACTGTGAGGGTAAAGTAAAGGTAAAACATTTGTATTTTATGTATTTACACATGCACCCGTGATGTCATGGTATGTTACGGTATGAAAACCAGGAAGTAAGATTCCCGACTCTCATACCTAGAGGGCTTGGAGGTGTGGCTTGAAGCCGTGCTTCCAAGCCTTCTGATTAGTGAAGGGTTTAAGGGTTTTGGGGCAGGTTAGCAGGCACTATAACCACTTCAATAAGATAAAGTTTTTAAAGTACCGACAGTGTTCTTCCTTTTACGCTCGATGAAAGTACTTTAAAGTGGTTAATGTCCCATTGTGGACAACAAGTGATTGAATCCACCAACTGCAGCATCTCATCACAAACTCTGACTGTTCTGAGCTTGAAATGAGTGCCATAAATTGAGCCATGAGCACTTGGCAATGACCAACTAGATATTTAAAAAAATAAATTCTAATTAAATATTGATATATTATATAAAAAAAGATGAATGAGTTCTACATGGTGGTCACCTATAGCCATGTTTGTAACAATGACCAAATGTTGTGCAGTAATCTGTAAGTAAAAAGGATATATCTTTTCCAGGAACACAACAAATATAACCTTTTATCTTGCTAGAGATCAGTTATATCAAGTTGGAGTCACACGTGAAAATGTGTCTGTCTTTGTTTTTTTGTTTTTTTAAGAAGAAGTCTAAAATAGTCATTGTGCAGTCCTTATCTACTTCATAACTCAGCTGGTGCGTGCAAAAATACAATACATGTCCGCAATACAAACAATAACATATGTTTACATGTTTTTTTAATATCTCAAATTCTGTATTATTATGAAAGCTCTTAGAATATTTCTAGAAGTGTAATGTATGACTTTATTACAGTACTGATGGTCTTTTCTTGGCTCCTTTCTAGTGGATGAAAGACATGTGGCGATCAGATGTATGCTACTCAAACTATGGCGTTGACGGATCCACTTGCTCCTTTTTTATTTACCTCAGTGAGGTTAGTTTTGGGTACACCATATTGTTTACGCAAGGATTTAACAAGACTCTGTTGTGTTTTTAACAAAACTAAAGTTTGTCATAATCTTCCTGGTTTTATTTATTTTCCCCCAGTTTAATTGCGATCTGTGGAATACTCCGGAAACACAGCACACGAGAGAGAGAGGAATACAACACATCTCTTATATCTTATAAAACTAAAGCACTATAGCTATTACAGATCTGCAAAGTAACATATTGATATATGCTACAAGAGTCAAAAGTACATTTTTCATGATAGTTCCCCTCTGAAACTTCATAAATGGGGGAGGAGACAGAATGTTATGGGAGCTACAGACATATTGTCTGTACAGCTAAATCTAGGTGTTTAACTAAGAGGTAGAGATCAAAGGATAAGTGTCTTTTAATCTATAGATATTGTCAGCACATTTTATAAATTAAATCCATACCTACCTTAAAGCCATCTTGTCATCCCATCCGTGCAATTTGACAGATTCACTTTAAAGCAAAAGCTTGTTATGGTGTAATCAAAGCCTCCAACTCTGTACGATTGGCAGCATTTGGCATTTATGAGTTAATGTAATCTATTTTTAATGTGTTCTTAAATCTCCAACAAGCTGTCTTTGAAGTGTGTAAAACAATACAAAGTTAACCTCACACAATGCCCTTATTTCGCCTGTTAACACGCAGCTGAAAAAGTTGGAATCTTAAATGTTTGTGAGCGCAAGCATGAAATTAAACTCTATTACAATTATATGACTGTATAATGTTTGCAGCCTGCCAAAGATTTATAGAACAGAATAATTTGTCAAAAAGAGAACGTTTCTCCCCAGTCTCTAATCAACATGTGGTATCGTCATGCCATGAAAAATGCAGCATGCTGATTGGACATCACATCTTCCCTCTCTCTCGCTAATCTGTTCTATAAACCGCGATTATTCATTTAAGATGAGCGTATTTTATTGATTAGAAATCAGTTATACCTTCATGTTCATATCATATGTGTAAGTGTATATATAGGTGATAAAATATTTTCGGTGGTTTTCTCAGAATTCTAAAGTCAGCGGCTCATTTAACAGCTCAAAAGCAATTTTCAGAGATCTCATAAAGTGCATTTATATCTGTCTATCTATGGATTTATATTGCACATAAACAGGGCAATCCTTGCTTCTATCTTTTTATGAATTTATCTAGCACGTAAACATAGCAAACCTTGTTCTAAAGAGAATCACTACTTTATTATTTTATGGCGTTGTTTCTTATGGGCTTTTTTTCAATCAGAAACACTACAGCTCATTGTAATTGTTATTGTGTAAAGAGTCTTTGGGTGCTGCCAATTCCCCCCAATGTTTGTGAAGGTGATCCTCATTTTATTGAGCTCATATGTGACTTTAGCAGAGTTTGAGGATTTTTTTTAAGGTCAGCTATTTTTGCATAAATTTTAACTGGTTTTAGTTCATAGTTTAGTCATTAACCTTGTTTATTTCATATTTTCTGAATGAAGTTAGTTTTGTGATCTGTGCGGCATCTCTTGGCAAACACCCAATACTTTATATGAAAGGTTAGTTAGTTTTCAATGTGTCATGATGCTCAATAAAAATTGCTTTGTTAGAAGTTGCAACGCCTTTTCTGGTTTAAAGAGAAATAAATATGTACTGAGAAACAAAAACGAGTGCCAATAGTTTGCAAAGTAATTTTCTCTTGCAGTATTGAAAAATAGAAATGTCAGAACAACCTATAAAGAACGTCTGTGATACCAGACCTCAAGCTGTGTTTGAGACAGATCGAAATCCAGATGCAGGCGATATGCCCCAATCGATTGTGTACCATTTAATTCGTAATATGCTCATTAATCTTTGTTGCAGTGTACGTTTGAAGTATTTATTTGTAGACAAGAACAGTCCTTTATGGTGTTTTCATTTTTTTTAACCAAATTCTTCTCCTTTGCGACTGTTAAAGGCCACATTCAGGAGACGGAACTTTCTATCTTATATATAATCATCTGTAACAGAAAGAGCATTCCTTCATGGTAGTCAGGACAGGCTTAAAATGGACCCTCCTCCAACTCTTTCAATTAGTTTGTTTATTCTGTACCAGTGACTGTTGGCTGACTGACATTTCATTTAGTTTTCCAGTTTTGCGTTTGTAGGGAGCTTTCTGAACACCCACTTTTTTTTCTGCATTGTAGCATATGCAATTGTTTCTGGAGTAAGTGGTGGAGGAACATGTGCAATAAAGTTACCAAATGACTTCTTGTTGCTAAGGAGCAAAGTTGTTGGTAAATGCAGACGGATGACTCTTAAAACACCATAACTACCTAAATTACATTATCACATCCTTCTGTTTGGTAAAGTGACCAGCCATCTATGCTTCCCCCACCCCAATGTTTTGTTCAATACAAGTACATAACATTCTCTGGCTTTCTTTAATTTGCATTAGAAATGTAAAAGGGGATCAATTCTAGCCCAGAATTCCCCTTGAAGATTGGCTACATAACTGATGCGTTTACAGAGAAGCAAAGATCAAGGGATCACTAAAATGGACCTTCTAGAGGAGATAGAGGCTTTAGTTTGTAATGACAAATTGGAAGACTAGAATGTGCAAACGTGGATTTTGACAGCAGGAAACCAAACTGAATTATCTAACTTTATTCTTAATTTCTTAATGTTGTTTTATGCACAGTCTATGCTTAGCGTTCTTGAAAGTCTTCTGCTGTGTCTATTGCTACTGCTTCCCCTGGACGGTGTTTCTGTGCATCTATAACCATTTCAATAATAATTATAAAAACCATACAATTCCTTGTTACCCCTAAATTTCCTTCTCTGTCATAGCTTCCCTCTTTCCGGTTAAATTTCTGGAGAAGTTTCCATAATATCCCAATTCGTTTTCTGTTCCAAGCTATTCACGTTGGTTGGAGCCTGTCAGAACATCTTGTAATATTATTTTTATTATAATAAATAGTCAAACACTTCACTATTCTACAACACCATCTTTAAATGTTCTTTAGTATATTTATCTTTCTGAAGATGAGGGGGGGTCTGTTTACAAAACTGGGAGTTGTGACGAATTGACAAAGAAGGGACAAAAATTCTAAAACTCACACTTTTTCAGCTCGATATTTTGATATTAAATTTGCAGCTCACTTGGAGTTCGCTGTAACTCACAGCTTAGTGAATAAACCAAAGAATGTTCTTACAATTGATCTATGAGGTGTTAGTTGTGCCACCTTTTTTCCTGCTCCCAAACCTCCCACAGTTGGAATATTAAACCGTGATATTACTTTGAGTGGCCAAGAGCTCAGTACAGCCATCGATGGCATTTGCAAATGACTGAAGGAAAAGGAAATAACAGCTTGAATGTGCTTAGTTCTGGATTTGTTTACTTGGTAGTTTTGCTGTGTGTGGGAGAGGAGCCAACCTATCTGATTTAGGAGCAGATCCAGCCTCACTCGCTCCAGGGAAACATCAGGCTCTTAAAGAAAAACTGAAAAAAATAATGATTCTGTCCCACAGTGGCTTCTATTTTGAGGCTTACTGTGCTTCTCGCAGTGTGGCTCTTACGTGTTTTTCTTTTCTTTTTATTCCACCTTTCCCCCCCCTTTTCTACAGCGTTCTATTGTTCTCTCTTTTGTTTGCCCGTCTCCGCTCTTTCATTTTTTGTCATATAACAATCTTAAAGTGCCACATCTAGCACTCCCACCGATTCATATAGCTGCCTCACTGGCATTTTTAAAATTAATTTTTATTTTTTTCTTATTTATAATTTTTTTTTTTTTTTTTTAACATTTTAACAGCAATTTCTATAGTGTGCCCAAAATGTATTGAAAAAAAATTGCACTTGAATCTTTTCTAAACATCCTGTATATACTTTGTACATGTGTCATTTTAATTAAGCAGGGTAGATATTGGTCAACTTTAAATATTTTACTATCTCACTATCTCACCGTCCACTTCTCATACTGCATAGTTTTTTAAAATATATTTATTGCATCAAACGTTACCAGTCGCCTAAGTCAGTAACGATGTTCAGTTTTGAACGAGTGACATACTGCGAATACCATTTCTGCCACCATACCACAGGTTTACCTGTTCTGTATCAGTTCAAAGGAATGCGCAAACATTTTATCTTTAATGCTCAGTGTAAAATATTACTGCATCATAGGAGGTAAACATTTAATTAAAGGGAAGGTTTAGAAAACCATTCAACTGGTTGCAGAATATTTTTTTATTTTTTTTTATGGATGGAGTCGAACAAGTCCATAAATTGAAACTGTTCACAATTCCTCCTCATTGTGTTTCCCCCTATTTGTATTAACTCTTCCTCACACCAACACACAGAACACACATATAATTTCTATATCTCTGTAGGTTTTTACAGACTTGTTAAGTAGGTGTATGTTACACACTCCGTTCGACAAAAGGTAACAGACAAGAAGCACCATATAAGACTGAATGCAGTCTGCAGTATTTGGTTTTTTTGTAAGGACATCCCTGTTAAATGTCAGATACGGTCTGATAACGCTTGTTCTATCTCAAAGCATTAGAAGAATACTCTTTCATTTTATTGCATTCATTCTCCTAGTCTAAGAATCAAGTAAGAATGACACATTTCTCTACTGATGATATTTTTTTCACACGTCTGTTCAGTGGTTATATCATCCTCTGTTTATCTTTCACATGTATTGCCTTTGTACATGAATAGAATTGAAGTTAATTCAAATCTAATTGCTAAGTGTAGGCCAAAGTAGTTGATTTTAAGCTCCAAATATGGCAGCTTGCAGAGCATCATGCTAAATGTAGTTTTCAGAATCTGGAACCGAGGTTGACTCTCCCTGCCTTATATCGCAATCTAATTGCAGTTCCTCTCCTTAGGGAATGGTGACCTTAGCCTGTACAACACATCCTCCAATTGCTCTTCGATTTCAGGATCCTCTGGTTCGATTTCTGCCTTCATTGATTGTGTGCACTGTGACTTGTGTATAGGTTATATCTATGTTTAACCAAGCTATACATATAGCTGAATATACAGAGATATAGAATAGAATGAAAATCTAACAATACCTCGCCCTTTGCAATTACTTATTTGAACAATATTAAAAGCCAGGCTTTCTGTTTTTTTTTTTTTTTTGCTTAACTCATTCATCCCTTCGGTAGCTACTGAAATTTATTTTAGCTCTTGATCACAAATTATTGTAAACCTCCTGAATATGGTCTAATTACTGATCATTAATACCCATCCAATAATATTGCAGCTAATGGTCTGACTAAAAAAAATAAAAGTACGCTATCTATATTTATAGTTTGTTTGTTTCTCCTTATGGTTTGGATTTTTTGTTCTCCCTGAACAGCTCAGACAAAACTGCTCTTTCAATGTTTGTTATAAGAACTCGAGAGGGATAGGGTTAAGGTAATCGAAGCCATCCTGCTTAATCTGATGCAATTGTTAGATCTGACTTCAAAAAAAGTATACAAATGTAACCCTTATCAAAGGGACAGGAGAAAGCCAGGACATTGTGCTGGTGACATTAAAAAAAAATACATTGCGGTAAACTTGGCTTGGAAATTGAACAAGCTTCTCTAGTCATTTCAAAAGAGCATAATATGAAGTACTGTACAGTATGTCTGCGGCGTCTGACTGTGTGAAACCCGAAATGGGAACAAGCAGATTGCCTGCCCTGCTGTTCTGCAGAAAGTATTCTTGCTCAAGGTTAAAAGAAAGGAGCGACAGGCAGGGATTAAGGTTAGGAGATTGTGTGTGTGTATCGGTTATGCATAGAGTTACAATCCACAACAACAAAATGAACAATGTGCAGAACGCCACTTACCCAGGGAAATTAACCGGCTCCTACTGAATGACGCATTCCACCAAATCTATCCAGGTGGGGCAATTTGGTGCCTACTGCTTGTACAGCTTTCCATCGCTGTTAAATTAGACTCGCATATTGACACATCTCCAGAATTTCTGTAGGATTTAGCCATATTTCAGCTGCTACTTATTCTTAAAGTTTTTCGTTCTGTTTTTAAACTGAAAAGATATTGCTTGCACAGCTTTAACCCTTTCAGTGCCAAGCAGTGCATTGTCTACCTGTTCTTCCCACAGACCTGGGGGTAAAACAGGACATTTTATTTTTAAGTTATACCTTTTTAGTTATTTCGCTAACACGGAGTACAGGCTAAGGTTTGTAACTGACCCGAAATGGAACTTGCCCCCCACTTTATATAGGAATATCTCACTTTAAATGTACAAAACTTGTCCACTTCAGGTACATACATATATAATGTATTATATGTTCTTATATAATTATATGTCATTATTTGTATTGTAATTTAAATATTGAAAATGATATAGCCTCTGCGCCATATAATTTTGTAATGCGTATGGGGGTAGCAAACATAAAGGGGACATTCTAGGTACCATAACTACTTTCTCATTTAAGTGGTTGTGGTGCCTGGAATCCTTGGGGGACGGTCAGTGTTAAATCATTTTTGATCCGTTTTAGTGAGGCTTCCCTGCCACCTGACCCCTCTCTGCTTTTTGGGCAAACTGCTTGCTATTCATTTCCAGGAAACATCTCTGCTTTTCTATGCTGAGTTTATAAAGTTAAAATATCATTGCGTCTATAATGTGTACACAAAGTAAAATAACTAATGCTAAATATGTTTGTAGCCACATTTTATATGGAAAAAATTAGCTCTATAAAACATGTCCTATTTAGTGTTTGATGTGACAGTCTCTATAAGTCATATGATCCAATTCCCCAGTCCCCTCGTTGGAAGATGTGAGCAAAGTACCGTTGGCATGTAACACCTACATACATTATTTTCTGATTTCACCAACAAAAATTTTACTGCACAGAAAAGAATTAGTGAGGTTATTGTAAACACTGGCCCACAGTGTTTTCTTTTTGGATGAAAAGTGTCCAGTGCCTTTATTTTGTCCTTGATCTAAAATGCTTGTGATGTAGAAAGCAGGTATATGTAAAACTGGATAAGAGTACAAATCAAATGTAAACCACTTTGATAAAAAGAAAATAAACCAAACAAAACAGTAAACTGAAACTAGAAAAACCTGTGTCCCTTCATAGAAGCCGACACTTTGAGGGAATATTGGTTTCTGTCTGTTCCAGTTCAGGGATTTTTTTTATTCTCATCAATCTAAACCTACACACACTGCTTCAAGAATATTTATTCCTCTTAATCTCTGACTGTTAACCCCATCTGCCTTTCGCCAAGTTTCGTTCTTCAGCCTTTTTGTGTGCAACTTCCAACTTTTCCATCCATCCTCATCTCATCTGTGTTTCCAACACTTCATTTAATTGTTCTTTCCATGCTTCCTTTCAATTCCTCAATTATTCAATCTCCCAATTTGTTCCTCCTCCACCTTATTCCATCTGTCCTCCCCTGATCATATCTCCCTCACACTGTCTGTGATAACGTATGCCATGACCGGTCCGTCAAACCCGTCACTACTCCTTCCTGCTTGTGGCACTGACTGTGAGAAGCTTCTGTCAATAGAGGAAAAAAAGGTGTTGGTGGTTGTTATTATTTAGAATATTTATAAATTGCCAACAAATTCCTTAGCGCTGTACAATGAGGTTATGATGTGCCGTGTCTATACATCAATGATGGTTTTAGGCAGTTGCTCGAAGCAGAACCGGTATGACGACGTTCAAACCAGTCACTACACACAGTTACAGCCAGTAGTGTAGACGGCTATAATGCAAGCAATTTCTATAGAGCCTGAGTGTCACATGCAATGCCTACCTCAGGGCCCAGCACCATTACAATTCAAGCAAGGTCTAAAGGCAACTGGTAGGCAAAGTGTAGGCTTCCAATTAAACAACAATGCTCTACTTTTGTATATGGTCTGTATAGTTAGTTTCCTTATTTCAATTCTCTACTTCTCTTTCTTTCTTCATAGGAAATTAATTTAGGTGACCAGTTTATATATATATATATATATATTTTTTTTTTTTAATTCTTAATTTTTGGCTTCAGCTCAAAAACACATTAGTACAACAACATATGTGGATGCATTGAACATATTAGATGCAGAGCGTGAGAGCAGGCAGTAGACAGGACAGTGTTTGGCCTCTCAGGTCATGAGCTGAAGAATTTTTATAAGACTGAGTGCATTTATTTTATAGTGCTGAGAGCATCCAGACTTAGTCTCCTTTGTGTTTGTGTTGCTGTAATCACTTTAGCACTATGTGGGCTGTGATGTGGCATTGACTATGGGAACGTCTGATGCTTGTAATTATAATGTAAATTAATTTCTGCAGATACCTGTCGTTTGTGTCTAGCTCAGAGACAATTCTTAAGGTGGGGGGGGGAGTTGTTAGAAGTTGTGTGTCTATTCAGGCTGAGAGTGGTGGTCTCATATAAGAGATGTGTTATGAATCATGGTATTAGTGGTTGGTTGGCTGCAAGCAAGCAGGAAAGTGAACAGATGAAAGTAAGCAAACCATAAATGAATTAGAAACTTTTGAAGTTTGTTTGAGGTATAAGTTCGGATCTAGCGATTCAAGTCGTAACAGCAGTGTACAGATTCGGAGCGGACCGCTTAGAGATAAACGGTGTTGTTGCTGATAGCCTCCAGCACCGCAGCCCTGTCTTTCATGTTCTGGAACCGGTTCACAATGTCTCTGGGTGCATCTGCCGAGACCCTAGGTGACTTGGGCACCTGGAAGTACCCATCAAGTCCTATCCCCTTCCCATGCTTTGGGGTAGGATGTCTGCCAGTAACCGCCTGAGGACATGTGGCAGTTCGGCTGTGGGGATATCCTCCCTGATGCCTCTGACCTTCATGTTCTTCCTACGCCTGGAGTCCTCCATAGCTGTGAATCGTTCGATGTGGAGCTTTGCCTGTTGTTGCGGCTCTGCCACAGCTTGCTGCAGTGAGGCCAGTGGCGTGGAGTGAGCTACGGTGGTTGTCTCCAGAGCCCTCATCCGGCCTGTCAGGCCCCTGATGTATGTGCAAAGCGCTGCTAAGTCGGTCTGTAAGTTAGCCTTGAGGTCAGCCAACAGGGCTTTTAGTACGGCAGTAGTCACTGACTTTGGTTGTGGCTTAGAGGGGGCAGGTTGGTGTGTTTGCGGCACCGGTATCTCCCACATCTTCTCCTCGGTGTAGAAATTATCAGAGTATTCTGAACAGGCCTCAGAGTATGCAGCCATATTGGATCCTGCCGCACCATGTGCTTGCCAGAAGAGTTCTCCAATATTGGAGCCTAAACACGGCTTATCTGGTTTCATTTTCCTTACGATCCATCACGTTCCCTCACTCTTTAGGGTGCCGGTCTGAAAATCAGGTCGGGATTGCGAGCCCCTTGAAGGGGTTATTACTTTTCCGGCTACACAGAGCTCGCAGGTGCTGTGACCGCTCAGCTTGACTCCGCCCCCCAATCAATTTATATTTTGATACTGAACTTTCTCGAAAATCATGTGAAAAAAAAATTCTGTGTCTTAAACTTGGAATTTAGTCACTAAACTGCACCTTGCCACAGTGAGGGGGTTTTACAATTTTAGTGTAAACTTTCAAAGTGGTAAGAAATCTCCAACGAAACCAAACTTCAGATTTTGGCTAGTATGACCTATCATTTCCAAGCTGTGGTGTCCGCTTGCTTCATAGTAGATTTTAAATTCTGATTTCATGAGTTTGATACTGTTTGGGTTTACTCAACACACAAGTCCTATTGTATTATACAGCTGCAACAGCTGGGTGCTATTCTTCAATGCCCCTGTGCACCCAATACCTTGAAGGACCCTGTCTAGTTGTAAAGATAAACCCTGTTTCCCAGGTATTGGGACATTCTACATTAATTTAAGCGGTGTTAGCATGAAGTCAATTCTCCATCATACCTGGTTAGAAAGGAAGCCTCTTTGCCATCATACCTGGTTAGAAAGGAAGCCCCTTCTCCATATCATAACTGGTTAGAAAGGAAGCCCCTTCTCCATATCATAACTGGTTAGAAAGGAAGCCCCTTCTCCATATCATAACTGGTTAGAAAGGAAGCCCCTTTGCCATCATACCTGGTTAGAAAGGAAGCCCCTTTCGCCATCATACCTGGTTAGAAAGGAAGCCCCTTCTCCATATCATAACTGTTTAGAAAGGAAGCCCCTTTCGCCATCATACCTGGTTAGAAAGGAAGCCCCTTCTCCATATCATAACTGGTTAGAAAGGAAGCCCCTTCTCCCATCATACCTGGTTAGAAAGGAAGCCCCTTTCGCCATCATACCTGGTTTAGAAAGGAAGCCCCTTTCGCCATCATACCTGGTTAGAAAGGAAGCCCCTTCTCCATATCATAACTAGTTAGAAAGGAAGCCCCTTCTCCATATCATAACTGGTTAGAAAGGAAGCCCCTTCTCCATATCATACCTGGTTAGAAAGGAAGCCCCTTTGCCATCATACCTGGTTAGAAAGGAAGCCCCTTTGCCATCATACCTGGTTAGAAAGGAAGCCCCTTTCGCCATCATACCTGGTTAGAAAGGAAGCCCCTTCTCCATATCATAACTGGTTAGAAAGGAAGCCCCTTCTCCATATCATACCTGGTTAGAAAGGAAGCCCCTTCTCCATATCATAACTGGTTAGAAAGGAAGCCCCTTCTCCATATCATACCTGGTTAGAAAGGAAGCCCCTTCTCCACCATACCTGGTTAGAAAGGAAGCCCCTTTGCCATCATACCTGGTTTTCCTAGGACAAACCAACCCTGGAGCTATGCTGGCTTATGGGTTTAATTGGGACTGGGTGGAGGCCTGCCAACATAAGAGACACATTATTTTGAAGTTCTTTCAGTGTTCGGAGCCCTACTTTCAATGCTCAAATACATTAATAAAGAGGTGTCAAACCTTTCAGTTACTTACTGGCATTCTTTAAGAGTTCTCCATGGCGAATTTCCTGGTTGACCTAGTTTACAGGGACGCCGGAATAATCCTGGTGTCAAATTTTAAATGGTTTATTTTTAATTCTGAATTCGTATTCACTAATTGATTGTTTTATTTATTTTCTTGTTTTAATTGGGGGTGTTTGGTTATGTAACCGCAACGTCCACTTTGTTTTCAGTATTATGCCTACAATCCAATAAAATGTTTTGAGTAAAAGGAAAAAAAAGATAAACTCTGGTAAAAAGCTTTCTACTAATGAATGTCTAAACCAATTGTTTCAGGTTGAAAACTGGTGTCCTCGTCTGCTGTGGAGAATTGTTAATAACAATGAGGAAGCTGATAAAAGAACAATGGTAAGCTATTTTTAAAATATATTTCTATATATCACTGTACCCCCCCAGAATCCATTAGTTGTTGCTCATTTCTAGTGTGATTTTAGTGACCTAAACAATCAGTCCACAGAAGCCACATGACATGCAGTCACTCAAGAGAATCTTCTTCTGATCCATTGTAGCATAGGTCGATTTATGCCCAGTCTTGGCATGTCTACAGACTGCTTTACCCACGATGCATTAGCAGTGCCATGTGTATCCCTTGCTTGCATAAAGCTGTGTATCTTATGCTCCATCAAGCATAACGAATTTGTGAAACCTTTCCCTTTGGCAACTTACGAAATTACTGTCTGACTTCCAGGCTTTAAAGGAGTTTGACCTTAGATTTTAGGTGAATTAAAGATGATATACGCTCTATTGCCATATTCAAAAGACAATATTACTTGTTTTTGTGCACCTCTCACTAAATAAATGATACAGCACATCTAATGAGGTTTTAAATGATGCACTTAATTGTCTTTTAAAGAGAAGCAATAATGAGTTATGTAATAAACATAATTTTGCCGTAGAGATTTCAGTTATTTAAAAAGGTGGAAAATTTAAGCGTACTGTACTGGTCATTTTCAGGCCGAAATCCGTACCGATTTTGAGCATCTCTATAAAGTAATGTCGCGGCACGAAGAGTTTCGATGGATGACTATGCGAATAAAGAGAATGGACAATACATGGATTGAAGCAATCAAATCCCTTGCAGACAAGCAAAATCTAGAGAAGCGGAAAAGAAAAAAGGTTTGTATTTAACCCACCTATACTTGATTTGCAGATCATTCTCGTTTTTCAGAAAAACTCTTCTCCGCATAAAAGTAAACTCTATACATTTTATATACCCGTGAGAAACACAGTGGATTGATGGTTTAATGCGTTCAGATTGAAGGAAAATGTATGATTAACTGGGAAACTTTAATAATACGAATAATGTAGAGCATTAGCATATTGTACGGAACTATTTGTATGTTTTTGCGTAGCGCAAGCTAAAAGTGGAAAACCTTTGTCCCCTTATAGAATCTTTTGCCAACACCTTGAAGGAATCTTGGTTTCTGTCAGTTCCAGAAATTGTGCAATAAAATAGGTGCTAATAACACGTGCAGCTGTGAACACTGTGGAGCCAATCAGGCAATAAAAAGTAGTGTCCAGCGCAGAAGTGTACAAGTATAAAACAATGTACATATATAAAACAGTAGTCCCAGAACTCATTCTACCCAGTGTAGTGTGTGTGTGTATATATACTCTTTAGGTCATCAACTCACATTTTAATGAGCCTGTTAGAAAAGTCTTTAACAAATGCTGTTTGACTTTGTTTCAGTTCTTCTCCCTTTCTGTAATGGTATTTCTTCTATCACTCTTTGAGTCACCACCCACTCCAGATATGTAGTCACAATATATAAATATCATGCAGTGACCAAATCTTGAATAAATGTGTGATGTCATACCTCCTCTTAAAGGGACACTGTAGGCACCCAGACCACTTCAGCTCATTGACCCTTTTGCACTTAGTGCTGCAATGTTAAACATTGCAGTTCCAGAAAACTGCAATGTTTACATTGCAGCTCTAAGTCAGCCCTCTGTGGTTGTCTACCAGACAGCTACTAGAGGGCTTCCGGAATCCAAACAGATTTTTGGTCCGTTACCTGATGCTGGAGGTCCTCATGGACCTCCAGCATCAGATTTTCCCTATAGGAAAGCATTGAATAATGCTTTCCTATGGGGAGGTCTAATGCGCATGCAGCCATTGCCGCGCATGAGCATTAGGTAGCGAGGAACGTTGGCAGATTCAGGTAAGTGGCAGAAGGGGTTTTAACCCCTTTAGCCCCGAGGGAGGGAGGGCGACCTATAGTTGTTTCCTGGCACTATAGGATCCCTTCAAATGTGTTGTTTAAACCACTAACCTAGACAAAAGTAAAATCATATTCAAAACCATTTGTAAAAGAAACCTGTGAGATCTGTATGAACTGAACATGGGTGCATTGCCTGGCGGCTCAGAGATTCCCCACCAGAAAGATGATGAATATCCCATATCTGTGTGGCATTCATTAGTTCTTGAAGGATGTCTAGTCCCATTATGAACCACCAATAGAGCCCTGGGTTCAGCTCCAGAATATGCAATACCTTGCTGCTGTAGCTGTCTTGTAACAGGGTGCAATGACTGGCACCAGAGGATGGTGGACTGAAATATGTCCGGGAATACGGTAATTTTAGACTCCTCAAATGAGTCGCGAGTTTACCCTTTATAATTGCAAATAGGAAAGCCATATTGTCTCGTCCCCTGAGGAACTTAACAATCAAGTCCTTTGGAACATCCTTTAGGGCTTTCAGTGAGTTGAGGACTCAAAAAAGGCCATCAGTTTGGATCGGTTTAGCATGCGTGCTGGACAACACAAAGTACATTAGCCTTTTAAATTATTGAGTCTGTTCTCCGTAATCCACTGATTCCAGTATGCCACTCATCCATAAATGTTTCCACCTGCTTCTATCCTCAAAAGAATCCAAACTGGCATAATAAGAGGCTAACTCTCGCTGTATCTTAACTGAGGTCTTCCTCCACAGACCTAACACGTGTTGATTTTACTGTATATTAGTGCCAGCTTCATACCCATGCTTTTTAAAAATGCTATCAGAAGATTGTGGGTACCTTTGTGGAGGGTCTTCATCGGAACCCCAAACAAAAGCACCCATGCTTTTTACTATACTGAAAGTTGTCCCAATGCCTCTGGTGGTGAAGTTGCCACTTCTGAGTGGTGAAGTTGCCATTTTGGGTTGGCTTCATCAGGGTGCACTGGAGAGAAGCAATCTAAAAATTCAGATGTCACTTGATTTCTCTGCCTCCGGCCTCTTCACATGCTTCCCCATTTTCTCAGAAGGTGATCTAACAAAGATATCTTAAAAATAAATTGTTGTTTAGGCCCCAATGCAGATCTATGCGATAGCTCTTTCAAAACACTTGCAATCGATCGGCAGCAAACACTGGCCCTTTTTCTTCATTTTAGCACCTTGTAATACCTGTTATTTTGATGGCTTATTCTGAAATTGAATATTTGCGTGGCATTGGGTCTTTTTCAGCTTTACCGCGGTGTAGATTTAGCCTGTTTACTTTTACTAGCTGGCTTTATTTTAGGAGGCTTGTCAAGGGGAAATTAAGAATTGCTCTTTAAAGCCTGTCTGACTTAAAGAATTGTTTGTTCTGTATCTCATGCTGCCACACAGAAGCCCAGATTTAAAGAGTGTGTGTATTATTCTCTGTACGTCACTAACTTTAATTTGTAGGCAGTCAGTAGTGCACATTAAAAATAAAATAAATAAAAATTCAGAAGAGCAGGATGATAGTTACAATTTTTTTTTTAGGAAGTGGCTTAATAACAATAGTTTTGATATGATCTACATTAGAGTTTGTGCATCTGCAGTTCATCTTAGTTGTTGATGTTGTGCTTACAGTTTGTAATATTTTTAAATCAGATCTGTTTTTTTGTTTGGCTACTTTGTTCCCAACCAATTAGAAAACAGCTAGAATACAAATCATGGTCTAAATATGAAAATGAGAGTAAACTAAGGCTGCCTGTCCAATGTGAAATGTAGACGTCTTAGGGAATTATCGCTCATAATACTTTAAATGGTCTTTTAATGGCAACTTCTAAATCTTGATTTATATGTATATTTTCATACGGTTGCTTATTTATTTATACATTGTATCCTCCTCTGTTATTTAAATTACCCATACATCAATCATCTCTAGTGAGACGGACACAATTTATTTGCCTGTCAAGACTTCAAATTGTAGCTTTTCCCTGAACCCATTTAATGTATTTCTCTTTCCCCAATGTAATTATTCTTTTTCAATAGCATGAAATTTTCTTTTTGTTTCATGAATTATTCCTCTTGGCAAGATAAGCTTCACAGATCCCTGCCCAGGCATTGCCAATCTCTGCCCTGCAGACTGTGAAATGAAGGTTTTATTGTGTTTTACCTTTCAATGTCCATTTCTTTTGCAAATTAGCAGAAAAATGGCTTGTAAATATGCCACAGCCCAACATGTTGGTGTTTGGTGTATAGAGCACATTAAGGGAGTTGTAAATTGCCAGTTTTTTTCAGTTTTTAGAGATCTAAGTCCATACCAAGTATGGGAGTTGTAACTTAGATGGCAGTTTTCTACTGTGGATAGCACCCTGCTGTGCAGCCTTTTAGTTTGGTAGAATTAATTGCATGGGCTGTATTTGGCAAAAAGTGGTTCTCTTTTCGCACATAGAACTCGGCCGCTCAACAGCTGCTCAGCTAAGGGGAAGAGTGAACCACGGCCTTAACCCATTCACGTTTATTTGCTTGTGATAGGCTGAGGGATGTTTAGTATATTACTCTAAGCCAATCATTGCTAAGAAATTTTAGACCAAATTTGCTAAGCCCAAATATAAATATGCTTGAATTGTAGAATTTTAGTTTTGTTTTCAGTTCAGTCTAACTAGATCCCAATATAACCATACAAAACGCATAAACCATTCTGCAAAGTCCTCTCTGTGATATGTTTATTATTAGAACTGATAAACTGTACTAATCTCTATTAAGAATGTTTTCATATTTGTTTTGTGAACGTTCACTCACAGTTTTATAGTTCTAAAAGGAGAGCATTTACCCAACAAATATTGCAATTTTCCACATTTATAAATAGTTTGTTGTGCAAGCAATGGGAATATAATGAATAATTGAAGCAGGTGGCGTGCTTATTTCTTAATGTTTAATTAGAAATGCTTGTGGGGGTAAAGCTGTGTAGCATCCTGCTATTTTTAGTTTTTTGTGGGGTTTTTTGTTGTTGTTTTTTTTGCATTATGTTATAATGTGTGTTTTGTGTATATTTATTTATTTTTTATATTGACTGCCCGGTCTAGAAAATCAGTCGGTCATTTCCAGTATCGACAATGTCAATCTCGGCTGAACCGGTTTTGTCAGATTTAATTATTGTCAGGACTTGTTTTGCATAACTCATGGAAATTAATTCCTAAAAATACAACACATAATTGTTGGTTTCAACTGGAAGAGAGTTTTGTAAACATTATTTTCTTCCTTTCTTTTAACCCTTCAAGTGCAAATTAGATTCCACGTTTGGTGAGATGCAATCGAGCTGGATTGATGGCAAAAAGGGCAATTTCATTTTTTTAATTATTTTCCTATTTAATTTGTGTCCAGTTCTTTTGCACTGCTCATCCTATGTATAATGAACGAGCACTGGGACGACATTGTGCGCTGAGTCAGTGAGTATGACATTTTTATATCACGTGATTCTCTTTTCTTTTTAGATTCTTGTTCATCTGGGGCTATTGACAAAGGAATCAGGATTCAAGATTGCCGAAAATGCGTTCAGCGGGGGCCCGCTTGGAGAATTAGTCCAGTGGAGTGACTTAATCACATCTCTTTACTTACTGGGCCATGATGTAAGGATTTCAGCTTCAATAGCTGAGCTGAAAGAGTAAGAAGATTTTTTTTTTTTTTTTTCTCAACTTACAAAACCGAACCACACAAAAAAAATAGGAGATTGCAGACTATATGACGCTACTTATGAATGTGCTATTTGTAAGAGAGGAATTAAGAATCGCAAATCACTTAATGGTACATAAGTAGATTATTATGTTTTCTTTGCGGTGTTAGCAGTATTGGGAGCCTCCGTTTCTGTTGCAAGAATGATGTGTTATATAGAGGCACAAACCTTTTCTATTAGTGATGTAATTGTCTGAATTGCCAAATTGGGAGTGGCCTGCCGTATCTAGGACAGTTGGAAGCCACGTATCTTTAATATTAAATACTTCAGGCAATTTTGCTGACGTTTTCACAGGCGTAATTTAATTGTTACATTGGTCTAAATGGTCGTCTCTCTCGTTTGTTTTTTTTTTTTTGTTTTTTTTTAAGGATATTTAACTTTTTTTAAATGCAACACTGTTCTAAATGTAAGGGATTAAACTTGAAAATTGAGTATTCTGTTTAACTCCACCTTTACCTGGATCATAATCAATCAGTACATCAGTACAGCAAACACTCATTAACAAGATTTCTGCACACACATACATCATTTAGCAAAACCTGAAAATTTCTCCCCCTCCCTGTTTTCACAGAATAATGAAGAAGGTGGTCGGAAACCGCTCCGGCTGTCCAACGCAAGGAGATAAAGTTGTAGAACTTATATACATTGACATTGTAGGACTCGCTCAATTTAAAAAGACGCTTGGTCCTTCTTGGGTTCATTACCAGTAAGTAACCTGTGTGTTTGATGGAGCCTAGTAACTGTGACATCTTTAACACCTTAATGACCTTTGGATGCTCCAACCATCATAGAAATTGCAGGCTCTAATGCCCTTAGCATGCCATGGACTGTCCTGGAATTTTGGTGCAATCCGTTAAATCCCTGCCCAACCCAGAGAGCTCCACGTATTAATAAGATAATTTGTATCAACTGATGCCTGGAGCTCCGCTCGGTCAGTACAAGCCATATTTAGTGGCTACAAGCTGATTGATTGGATTATTATTATTATTAATCACATCCTATTAGAAACGCAGGGCTGAAAAAGTGTTTCCTAACTTGATGCTTACATTCATCTAGTGTCTAGTAGTCTATCGCTTCCCTTGCTATTAGAAGAGAGCGTCCGTCCCTCCCCCCCGTCCCCGCCCTGATGAACATACGTTAGATCAAACTGAAATGTTGATATTTTATTTTTGAGCAAATAAAAGTATTAAGTGCTATCTCTATTTAGACTACTGTGTTGTGCCGACTAGAAATTATGGGATACTAGGAGTGCAAGATTGTTTGTTTGTTTTTGTTTTGTGTGTATGTATGTGTGTGTGTGTGTGTGTGTGTGTGTATATATTCTGTTTTGGATTTGAAATATGCAACCCCTGCATATTAAGGCCTTGAATAAGCTTTCCAAATGATTTAATACCGTTTAAAAAGTTTCCAGGTTTTTATCTACACAAGCTACCATTTTGTAGATAAATAATTTGGAAATGTTTCTAACCGTATTGAATCATTTAGAAAGCTTAATAAATCAAGACGTATTTTTTGCAACTGTTACATTAAAGCTACACTATAGTTACCTAGACCACTTCATCTCATTGAAATGGTCTGTGTGCAGTGTCCCAGTCCCACTTAGTCCTGCAATGTAAGTTATTGCAGTTTTTGAGAAACGGCAGTGATTACATTGCAGGACTAAGAATGCCTAACCAACGTATTTTATGGTTCCTTTTTCTATTCTATTCGCTGAGTTTCCAGCTCCCATGACCCTTTGCAAGCATTTTCTACATCCCACACTGCCAGTAATATATAGGACTTGGCTATAGGTCCTGTATTTAAAGTCAAGGCTGCTATGGTTTATACATTTTGTATCCATTCAGAAGAATATCCTCCTAATGTCCACAACAAATGCCTGATCACCTAAACATTCTATTTTGTACCACCGCATTGGCGTATATATATTTATCACCATTGTTACAGTAGTCAAGAAAATCTGCTTTAATCCCACTGAAGTTCCCTCTAATGCAGAGGTAAATGCCAGGCCAGCTGAACACTTCTTGTGACAAATGCCGACACAAAATGCCAGTGCGGAGACAGGAACTGGAGCTGTCAGCTCGATTGTCATGTTTGTCTCTGGGTAATTCTTCTGACTGCTCTTTTTTTCTTAAAGTCATAAACTATTTACATCGTTGGTCCTATGATGCACTGCTAAGTGCTGGAAAGTGTCCTTTATGCCTTCTATAAATCTGTGAGGCAGTTGATGTCTTTCCAAGAACAATCCGCAAAGCACAGGTTATAGGCAGCCCCTGGCACTCCAGATGATGTGGACAAGGAGCCCTTTATGTTGCCGGATGAGCATGATGGGCCCTGTGGCACTTGGCATGTGCCACTCTTTATTGTCTAATTCCTTTTAATGAGGTTGAAGGTAAATGTTTGGTAAAACGGCAGTACTCCCTCCCTCCTTGCTGCTGCTAGTGTTTCACTGTTACCATAGCTCTCCAATTACCCCGTGATCTAGTGTCCTAGCTAGTGCATAATCCACCGGGTAAATGGGGAGACGAAAGAGGATGTTTTGACAGTTAATCAAAGATGGTAGAAGGTCTCGCTAGATGATTTGCTTTAAATTGATCCCTTAAGTCCAGCAGAAGTGATTGTGCTTCGCTGAGGAAGGAGATAATCAATAGTTTACAGTAATTTGTACCTAAGAAAACGTTCCACATGCCGACTCGCTTAATGCTTTCGAATGGAGAGGAGAGTTGGGGGTGATTGGAGTTATAGTGAATACGGTGAATTGTAAGCTCATCTGAGCAAATGGCTCATTTATATTCAGATTAATTAGGCAAGTCTCTATTTCCCCATTGTAAAATGCTGACACTATACAAATAATATCGATAAATAATAGATGTCGACCTGATTGGAGATATTCACTAGCAGCATTACTGCCCAGCAATGCCAGTCTCTGGTACTACTGGCAGCCTTGTGTGTCAAGATGCTCCAAAAAGCATTGAATGCTTGTAAGGCAGGTTTTTCCTTCCTTATCCCCAAATCTGTATCGTCACTGTCATGTTAAAGGATGCTTTGTGTCTTTGCTTGCAAGCAAGTGGTAGCAATTATTCACCTTTCAGCCACATTTTGCATATTTATGGAGCAGTGTATTAACTGGCCTTTCCTCAAAAGTATTTTTCCTTTTCTATATATTGCTAAGACATTAATTGTTTTTTAAGTATTGTGTCTTGGAACCCTCTGTTCACTTGGAGCGGTGAATTCCCTGCAGGCATTTTTATTTTACTCCTGTCATTCTTAGAATGTTTATACTCCTGTATGCAAACAGTGTGAGTGAGACAAATGTTTCCAATACCAAAAAAAAAAAAAAAATAACTGTTTCCAACTTGTAATTTAGCATCCTTGCAATGATACAAAACAATGCATTTGTTCCTAGTTAATGGAATCATTCAGGGTGGTATATGATACTGGTATGAGGTTTTATTTTTTTTAGATGTAGACTACTTCTTTATACATATTATCTGCATTGTAACAGCAGTGTTTTATTTTTTATTTTTTTAATTGGTTTCCTTTGACAAAAGATCAATAAAACTAGTACTATGTATAAACCGTAAGCAATACATCCGTGCCCATACACTTATTGTGTACCATGATTTCATTATTATTTCATTCGGTACTTTCAGGTGCATGTTACGAGTCTTGGATTCATTTGGAACTGAACCAGAGTTTAATCACGCACATTACGCGCAATCTAAAGGCCATAAGACTCCGTGGGGAAAATGGAATTTAAACCCACAACAATTCTACACGATGTTTCGTAAGTCATCTTGTTTGTTTGAATAGCTCCATTGCAGATATGAGTCAGTGAAATGTACTTTGCGATGTTAGATAGTTCATCTAATTTAGTTAAATACATTTACTAAGGGCAACTAAATGCCAATTGCTATGTAAATATTCCAAAATGAAAGAGAGTTCTCCCCAATCACCAATGTTTACCATGCATGTCTTTGTTTAGCGTGATATTAAGGGAGTTTGAAGAGATGTGTGTTCGGTAGTAAAGTTGTAATATAGACCTACTATTGAAGTTCTATTTTAATAATATAAACCCATCCTGTTAACCTCACACTCTGAGGTCTAGACCTATAAAAGTGATAGCCATCCTTTCCTGTCCCATGATGCTTGGTGACTAGTTTTTATCACTTTCAAAACCATCTGGGGATCCACTGTTGGCCTTCACGTCTTTACAGATTGAATTGTGCAGGACAATGCACACTTAAAGGCCAACGCTCTGCCACCAACACTTTAGCATTATTGTTCAACCTTGGCTAGCAATCATAAGCTGAGAACACTGAGCTAAACCATGAGTGCCTAGGGCTTTTGTTTCCTTACCACTTAAATGATTTGATAAAATGGCACTAAAGACTCATTATAAAAAGCTTTAGTCATTCTTGTGATTAGAGTGTCTTTTTGAGACTGGATGGACATCATGGAACATAGGATTCACTATAATCGGGTGCCAGGATTACATTAATAATTCTTAACTTTAAAACCTCACCGCCCCTTCTTTAAAGGTTTAATATGAAAAAATTGCGTTTTCGTTGTTTTTACACTGGTCAATGTAACTTCACCACCTGATGCTTTATATGAGTAAAATCCTTGCAGTACCCGACGCAAACATATAAAACCGAAAAAATGAATAAAATCTAAGCGTTTCAGTCCACTCACACCTTTATTTATTGCGTGTATTTTTTATCTCTATTTCCTATCTCTACTTTTGAAGATTGTAGAACAGTTTATAGAGGATTTACTGTTAATTATTAAGCCTTTATGGTAATGTGGGTGTAAGGTTGGACCTGGATGTTGTATTCACTGTGACCTGTCAACGCAATGCAAATGATTACTGGCAGTCAAATCAAGGAAAGAGATATATGATAATCCATATTTGAAGTGTAATGGATTATATCCATGACCACCTTTCTCGGGGAGGGAGGGTGACTTGGGGTACCTAGTTTCAGCAACTCTATTGAGCCTCAGCCAGATATTGCTGTGCATTAGTTGACTAATAACGAGTAGTGTTTGTAGTTTCAAAAACAACCAGAAAGCAAAGTTAGAGAAGTTAAACAAGGGCACCTTTTAAACCTGAGGTTTTATTTACTAAATAGTACACTGGAGAAATCATGGCGAGCGTTAAAATCTCTCACTTGGTGGACTCAATGCTTTCCCTGGAACGCTTTCTATTGTGAGTAGGATTTCTGTGTCAGAACAGTTTAATGAATCCCCAGGTTAATCCAGACATGGATTAAAAATAACAATAAAATAACTAAGGTACATCTCAATTTATAGACTGATATGTTTTTCATATTTAATTCCAATATCAAGCATATCATGTGTATGTAGTGAAGACCTGTAAAGACTGTGGATCTGGAAATATTTTAAATCTTAAACATTTCTAAATATTTTTTTTAGCACAGTAAGCAATCTCTGTTGTAGGTTGCTTGTCTGTTAAAATGTCTTTATTACACCAGAAGATAACATAAATATCTTCTTCAACTTTGTTGTATTTTTAAAATGATTTCTTAACAGGTGCACCTGGCACATTGTTTGTATTGATTCCTAATGCTAGCTGAAGTGGTAGAGGTTAACACAGTAAAGGAGTTTAAGCATGCGTGGGATAGGCATAAGGCTATCCTAACTGTAAGATAAGGCCAGGGACTAATGAGAGTATTTAGAAAATTGGGCAGACTAGATGGGTTGAATCGTTCTTATGTGCTGTCATATTCTATGTTTCTATGGTGCAGACAAGAGAAAATATCTATTTTTTTCCCCTTACAATGTAAAATGTATCTCCTGGTTTACAAATAATGCAGATCCTCAGATCTCATTATATGTGTGCTTACACCTTGCTTGTGACACAATTAGACTCCCCAATAGTAGTAATTTGTAATTTAATTTCTCCACCATATTCTTTACAAGAGCGTTCTTTTTCTCCACCACTTACGCACAACAATTTCCTTTAAAGAGATTCCTTCAGGCTGTCAAAATATCTGCCGACAGAGAATACAAATTGTTTTATCGATCACATTTGCCCCCTGCCAAGATTGTTTTACACATTCTTTTTGAAGATTTATTTTGTCTTTTTTTACCTACATCAAAATCTACTGGAGTGGGGTCATGGTCCCCTTAGAGAGTCTGACAAAGTAGATGGTAATATAGATTTTGGTACAAAATCATATGTTAATAGTCTAAGGAAGTATAGATATGTTTGTGTTTTGTGTGACGCAAATCCTTGTATTGCTACTTTATGGGAGCTCACAGTATGTGTTCTCTATTACAGAGCTCCACAAATATAATTCCCAGTAATGTCCAGGTTGTGCGTTTTACAGAGCTCCACACCAATAAAGCTATTTCATAAACACTCAAACACTGTGATGTAAAGTATCACAGAGCTCCACAGCAATATGTCTCCCAGCAATGTGTGCAGTGTTTTAAATATTTTTTGCCAGACTGCAGAAATAATTTGTGTATCAGATATCGAACTCGAGCTCCTTGTTTCGTTGAGAACAGGTATCCTCTTTCAGCTCATCTCATTAGTTGTCGCGGAGTTACCTCTCTTCTTCTGGCACCTGGTGTCAATTTTCCCTTAGACAGAGGGAGAGGTGTTTTCCCGTTAACGCTGTGTTTATTATGTTTACCAAGTTTCAAGAGGATCATTTTTCCCTGAATTATAAATCCCAAAATCTCAATGTAATTAACTTTATGGAAAATTTGTTGTTTGTTTTTTTATATATACAGCTCAAGAAGTGCAAACCCTCTTTACTTTCTCTGAACAAAGCTGCTGTATGTGTAGTTGAAGTTTTGAATGAGATGTTTCTTTCTCTTGTTTGCATATAATGTGTTTAATTGCAATCAACAAACACAATTTAAAGAGGAAACCAAACCTGTAGGGGTATAGCCAGGGGTTTGGATGCATTTATAAAAGCACATATTTTGCAATAAAACCAAAATGGCAGAAGATAACCAGGAGTTTAGAGATCCGGTATGGTGGCAAGGCTGGTGTGTAGAATCGGAATAGGTAGCATGGGAAGTTAACATTATAGCCCTAGGATTACTGAGGGCAAGATGGTAGAGGGTCGGGGATAAGTGGAAGCAGGTTTGTATAGTACCGGGATATAGATAGCTAGAGGCTTACTGAGGACGGGTAGGATGGTATGGTTGTAAGGAATGAGCTTGAGATGGGGGCTCATAAAACAGTGAATGTTTTGTATCAAAAGGAAGATGTGACAGGAATATGTGCAGGAGCATTTTTGTTTATATTTGCGATAATAAAATATCAGATTTCCATATAGATAGTCAATTTTATAAATAAACCTTTTTACACCCCCTGACTGTCAAGCAAACAAAAAGGTCTTGTTACTTCCTGGATCTTTAGCTCAATGGAACTAAACTCAAGAGACCCTGAACTTTCACCATAGAGATGCATTGATTCAGTGCATCTCTATGAAGAGATTCTGATTGGCCAGGGTGGCATTTGGGTCCGCCCCAACCCACCTCTTTGGCTGAGATCATCAGGAATTGACAGTCTCAGCCAATCCAATGCTTTCCTTTGGGAAATCATTGGATTGGCTTAGATCAACAGTGTTGACCATGGAGGCGGATTGGGGATGGTTAGAAGGTAAAATTTACAGCTACTCAGGCCAGGAACATAAATAGTGTTTTTAACACTATAGGGTCAGGAATACAAGTTTGTGTTCCCGACCCTATAGCGATCCTTAAAATGCTTGTTTTCATTGAGGATGTATCTACATAACAGATAGATATGCATGCAGTGGAGTGTCCCGTAGTAGACAGTAGACTGTGTTTGAGGTTTTTTTTGTATTTTGTAGACATGAAAACAGTGTATGGAAGGCATATATTCTTCAAATAGAAAGGAGAAGTCACTGAAGCATAACAATGTTGTATATATTGTATAATATTTACAACAGCTCAAGCATTTTCTTCCTTTTAAATCTGCTTCTGATAGCTCCCACTTAATGAGAGCCATTGCATGTCTCTAGTTAGTACATCATATTTCCCAGCATGCACCTGGCTGAGGTTTAAAGAGCTGCTAATCAGAAGACAGAATTTCTAATGGTGCAGGGCAGGTGTGAGGCTAAAAGTCCAGCTGGTACATATTTGTAGGAAACATTCTCTGTCGTCGTGTTAGAAAAGTTGAGAGGAAAACTAAAACCGTTTATCCTTGAAATTTTGTTACGCTGCCAAGGTCGCACAAACCCTGCCCGGAGTGCTGACAGTCTAAAATTAATACTAGCTGACAATTTAAATAATTTTCTATCTTATGGGCAGAGGAGTCTCACATATGTATGCTTGTGTTTTTCTACATGCCAGTGACCTTCCCTCAGTTATTATTCGCTTGGTTTTGTTCAGATAGAAATTGTAACCCATCCAGATAGTAGACCTGCCCTTGATGCTTGAATCAAGAGAATTGTAGCTTCGTAGCTCGGTGACATGCGGCTCCCTAAAACTTGGTTTATATTGATTACAGAAAATTGTACGTGCTAATGTGAACTGATTTGTGGAGTGAATCAAATTCAGATTTCAAAAAACTGGAACAAATAGTTTGGGTGAATCTAATCTTACTTGAGTTGAGAGTTTTCCCATGTTTACAGAAATAAAAGTCCATTGAAAACTGCCATTGTATTTAATAAAACCTGTAATAAGCGGTCAATGGCCATTCTACAACTTTTCATCGCAATCTGAAAGGTGTTTTATTATGTATTTATAGTCTCCTAGAATTCACAACATCCCGTCTTTTTCCCTTGTTTGCAGCCCACACTCCTGATAACAGCTTTCTGGGGTTTGTGGTGGAGCAACATCTAAATACAAGTGACATCCGACACATGAATGACATCAAAAGGCAGAACCAATCACTTGTTTATGGAAAGGTTGACAACTTCTGGAAGGTACGTGGTGCTTGGCGTGTCTCATTAGAGAGTCCCTGATGTGTTTCATGCAACAGCCACCGTGAAATGTTTAGTTGCTGCTTTTTTAACATTGTTCCACGCAGATTTTAAGAATTGTTAAATGTAATTATATCCTGTTGGTTTTCTTTGCTTCCAAAAAAAGCAGTTCTTCGTCAATACACACTTTATGTGCGCAACACTTTATCTGTACAGAGAGACAAATAAGGAAATAGTTTTTTCTTATATACGCGTGATATTGCAGTGTCTTCAGTCAGTCCCAATAGTAAGAATAACTTAATTTTACTGAATTGATAGATTCCCCGCAATCGCTCTACATCAGAGCTATCAGAAATCACAGGTGTACCAGAGAAAGCAGACTGAGATAGATTGTAGTAAGTTTATAAACTTTTATAAGCTACATTTCAATCTCTTCTTCCTTTTATTTTAGTTTGTATATTTGTATAAATGTGCTTGCTGGTTTAAAAAAATCAAGAAAAAAAACATGTCAAGTGACGCATGTCCCATTTATTGATTAACAAAGTAATTTAGGTTGAAAAGAGAACCATAGTTAACCCCTTAAGGACGGAGCCAAATGTACACGTTGTGAACAAAACAAAATGTAAACAAAACCTGGCATTTGCGCTACATGTCTGTCCAACCGTAATACACCTCTTTCATAGTAAATGCACCCACCCTTATTATATATCATTTTATTCAGGGGAAACAGGGCTTTCATTTAATATCAAATATTTAGCTATGAAACATAATTTAATATGAAAAAAATGGGAGAAAATACGATTTTATTGGATTTTTTTAGTTCTACATGACAATTAAACGGTCAGTGTCATAATACTGTTTGCTTTTACTGCAATAAAATACACATATTTGTATTCAGCAAAGTCTCACGTGTAAAACAGTACCCCCTATGTACAGGTTTTATGGCGTTTTGGGAAGTTACAGGGTCAAATATAGCACGTTACATTTGAAATTGAAATTCGCCAGATTGGTTACGTTGCCTTTGGACTGTATAGTAGCCCAGGAATTAAATTTACACCCATAATGGCATACTATTTGCAATAGTAGACAACCCAAGGTATTGCAAATGGGGTATGTCCAGTCTTTTTTAGTAGCCATTTGGTCACAAACACTGGCTAAAATTAGCGTTAGTATTTGTTTGTGTGTGAAAAATGCAAAAAACGCCAATTTTGGCCAGTGTTTGTGACTAGTGGCTACTAAAAAAGACTGGACATACCCTGTTTGCAATACCTTGGGTTGTCTACTATTGCAAATGGTATGCCATCATAGGGGTAATTTTCATTCTTGGGCTACCATAGGGTCTCAAAGGCAACGTAACCAATCTGGCGAATTTTAATGTGAAAAAGCTGGAAATGCAAGCCTTATATTTGGCTGTAACTTTTGAAAACACCATAAAACCTGTACATGAAAGGGGGGTACTGTTGTACTCAGGGAGACTTCGCTGAACACAAATATTTGTGTTTCAAAACAGTAAAAAGTATCGCAGCAATAATATCGTCCGTGTAAGTGCTGTTTGTGCGTGAAAATGCAAAAAAAGTCAATTTTACTGGCGATATCATCGTTGTAATACATTTTACTGTTTTGAAACACTAATATTTGTGTTCAGCGAAGTCTCCCAAGTAGAACAGTACCCCCCATGTACAGGTTTTATGGTGTCTTGGAAAATTATAGGGTTAAATATAGTGCTAGCAAATTAAATTCCCTTTACTTTCGGCATGGGTTGTCAGGCAGGTCCCGCTAATTGTAATTAATTAAGATACCTAATTATGTAAAAATATTACATAAATATATATGTAGGGTAATATATGTATATATATATATATATATATATATGTATGTGTATATATATGTATATATCTATATAATTTTTTTTAAATATTTTTATTTATATATAGGTATATATATAGTGATATATAAGTATATATTTATGTATATAGATATATATATTATTTCGTTCTACGTGTATTTTTATATATATATATATATTAATTTCACAAAACAGTTAGAACGAAATAACACACATCTATATATTTTTTAATTATTTATTTTTAATTATTTTTTTAATTTTATTTTTTAACGTATTTACATTTTAATTTTTTTTATATTATATATAAATATATATATAACAATAATTATATATATATTTAATCAGTATCAGTCTACGTGTAATTTGATATTAATATATATATATAATTATATATATATTAATAGTAAAATACACCTAGACGGTGTATGTGTGTGTATGTATATGTGTATATATATACTTAGATCATATATATATAATATATATATATGATCTAAGTATATATAATTTTTTTTTTTTACACCATTAACTTATTTTTATTTTATTTTCAGCCAGCAGGGGGACCACCTGTCATTACAGGCAGCCCCCCTGCCGGCAATACAGAAGCCAGCTATCCCGGCCATGTGATTGTGGGGTCCTCGCTAGGACCCCACTCTCACATGGCCGGGGGGCTTCCGAGGACGGATGTGCCGCGGGGGGCTCCCTGGGAGTCCCCCCAACCGCGATCGCCGGCGTGGGACCGCCGGCGACCGGGTAAGTTAACAAAAACCGGAGGGCGTACAATTACGCCCGGCGGCGTTTAGAGCCGCCTATTAGAGGGCGTAATTGTACGTCCTCCGGTTTTAAGGGGTTAATCCAGGCAAAGGGTCAGGAAGCAAAAAAAAAATACAAACAGAAACTGAAGTCCCCTGGTGGATGTCATGGCAGAGAACCTGACTGGGATGCTGGAGCTGTGAATTCAAACCCAGCCAGGTCTTATAACCCCTTAAGTAAACATGACATGTGTGACATGTCATGATTCCCTTTTATTCCAGAAGTTTGGTCCTTAGGGGGTTAAAGGGGCAGTCACACGTTGATGTCTGCAGGGCTCAGGCTGTGCCGTGACAGATAATCACCCAGGCCACTTCATCTCAATGAAGTAGTTTGGTTGCAGTGGTCATGCTGTTTTATTTTCACATTGCCATTTTGGAGATATGCCAATGTTTTTATTGTGGGGCTCCTGAAAGACACTAGAGGGTGCTTCCACAGTAAATTTTAACATGATTCTTAACTTATAGAAGTATTTGATTGGCGCATTGGGACAACTGGTGCCCATGGGCATTAAGTATGCAGTGCTTCACAATGACAAGTATTTGATTTAAAAAGAGGCTTCATCAGTGCTGGATTGCAGGTAAGTAACTAGTTAACTGAACAATTTTGTAGCAAAAAAACTGGTGGCCCTGAAATCTAAATATCCCAACTAACTCTAGGGGCTAAGATCCCCACACTACAGTGTACCTTTAATGCAACACATACAATCTGAATATCCTATACTGTGAAATAAAATGCCATCAAGACCTGTGTTATGACATCTGATGCATCCTGATAAAACAACCTCTCCAGGAAGATAATTCCCTAACTTGTATTGCTTTAAAGAACCATACTGTTCATTTATATGTAACTAGTGCAACTGCAGTAAATTTCAAGTCATACACTTCATTTACATCAGTCAAATTTATAGTCACTTACAGTCACATTCTGTCCCAGTCTTCCCCTGGAATAAGCTCTCAGGGCTGTAATATACATACAGACCTCCAGGGCCGCCATCAGGGTGTGACAACCATGATGGTAGTCACGGGCCCGGCCACCCAGGCCCCATGTGTAGCGGCGGAACTGCTGCTGGTGCAGCCGCACTGGGGCCCGCACGCTGATAGGCCACCCGATGGGCCCTATATCTTCAGGGACCCGGTCAGTGCTGCTGCCGTGTAATAGCGCAACCATGCCCCTTTAAAAAAATGTGAGCCGCAAGTAGTGCTGGGAGAAAGTGACGGCCGGTCTCTTCCTCCCAACTCACTCCGCGCTGGAAGGAGGAGAGACAGCGTGGAGGCCGTGAAGAGAGAGAACCACGCCGAGTCCCAACAGCCACCCTCCTGCAACAAAAAGGTAAGAAACAGGAGAGTGGCTGAAAAATGAGATGTGTATGTATGTCTGTATGTATGTCTGTCTGTATTTATTACTGGTATTTATAAAGCACCAACAGATTCCGCAGCGATGTAGAATTAGTGGAGAACGTATAATATACACAGACATACAAGAGGTAATGTATGCCTGTATGAATGAATGTATGTCTGTATGTATGTATGTGTGTCTGTAAGTATGTATGTCAATGCGTATGTATGTATGTGTCTCCTCACTTTAGAGGGCAGTCTCGTGAGGGCTAAACTGTCTCATCCTCTGAGTCTCCTCTTGGTTCTTTATTTTCATGTGTCAGTATTTATGCCTATATGTGTATGTGTCTGTTAGTATGTAAATGTGTGTGTGTCAGTATGTGTGTATATTTGTGTGTGTATCTGTGTCCTTTTGTATCAGTACGTGTGTTTGTGTCTGTGTGTGTATTCCTGTGGGCAGGATTTGGAGGGGGGAGTGGACACGGGCCCCCAGGGGCCCAGAACCTGAGCTGTGTTAGGGGCCCCAACATTTCTGATGGCAGCCCTGCAGACCTCCATGAAGCACAGTCATTAACCCTGTTATTCTTAGTTTTTCTCAGCTGGAACTGGTATCTCTTGTGTCAGACAGACTTCCCATGGAATATAGCCATTAGCCCTGGTGCTGGCATTTCCTTTTTCCTCAGGACTTTAACATACAAGCATACTTCTGATTATGTATATCCATTAGCTGCAAGCTTTTATCCAACTCCAATACTGGACATATAAAACTTACCTAGATGCTCCCCCATAACCCATTTGCTATATTAAAGTCTCAATTGAAGTATTAGTGACTAATACTTATGCTAATCAGTAATCTAAACTACTGATGCACTTACCTGAGAAAGAAAAAAAAACAAGATAAAGATCCTGGATAGAGACAGCGGGCCTGTGTTCCACTGGAATATGGAGATTTTACAAACTAACAATTGAATCTCCTTAAACTAGAGGCCTCATTATGCACCCCATAGGTACTGTTTACTGTGTCTTCAATGACAAGAGACTGAACCCTGGCAGAACCTTCAAAAACATTGGCCTGGTGAGCATTAAAGGAACACTATAGGGTCAGGAATACAAACCTGACCCTATAGTGTTACAAACACTATCTAGCCTCCCTTGTCGTCGCCCCCCCCCCCTCCCCGCCCCCTTTTCCTCCTAAATATAGTAAACCCTTACCTTTATTCTAGTCTGCTGGTACTGGCTCTTCCCCTGGTCTGCCTCCTTGGCCGACATCATTAGAAGTGATAATCACAGCCAATCACAATGCTTTCCCATAGGAAAGCATTGGATTGGCATTGTTACTTCTGATGATCTCAGTCAAGGAGGCAGGCCCTGGCCAAGCAGTAACGCTTCATATAGATGCATTTGGATCAATGCATCTCTATGGGGAAAGTTCAGTATCTTCATGCAGAGGGTGGAGACACTGAATGTCAGTGTTGCACACTGCATCACTGCCCCAGGAAGCACCGCTTGTAGCCATCTCATGAGTGGCCACTGGAGGTGTCTCTAGTCTGTTATATAAACACTGCCTTTTCTTTGAAAAAGCCTGAAGGGACTGACTATACTCACCTGAACAACTAAATTAAACTGTATTTGCTCTGGTGACTATAGTGTTCTTTTAAATAAAATGTATGCCTGCTAAAGCTAGCTGCTGGATTACAGGGAAAAAACGACTCAGGCTTCCACAAATGAATGGGAATTTATTAAGATTTGTTAACTGATATTTCCTGTCCTGTCTACTGATTGGGAGTTTAACCTCATTAGTGAAGTCTCCATGTTGGCCAGGAAAAAAATAAAAGAAATTGATAATGTATGGTAAGGACAGAACTGGAATAAATGAAAAAGTGTATTGAAGGGATTTAATTGACTGGAAGATGACAAAAGATTTATTGAAACTTCCTTCTCAGTAGTTAGGGAAAACAAGAATAAAGTAAAAAATACTGAGAATGACAGGTGTTCCTCTAATTTTATCAGTTATGTTGTTAAAGTATGAACAAAGCTGTTCATCGCGGGGTTAATAGAAAATGAGTTATGACATTTAATGTATTGAAGTATTAAAGATTTGGATAACATGTGCAATCAATGTATTAAGCATCACACAACTTCATATTACAGTACAAAATTCTGCATACTCTGAATATTCTCTTGTGTGTATAGATTTTAATGTTTGTCCCCATTTTAGGTTTATCATTAAGCACTTCATATTGAGAAAGTGTATGAATATAATGGTAATCTGAAGGAGATTGTGTGTATAAAAACATTTAAAAAAAAAAAAAAACCCTAAAAACTATATCTTTATATTTATATTGAAGAACACGACATGGAAATGTCATGTGCTCCTAAATATACAGCAAACACAGACTCAAAGAAATCCATGTTTAAAATGGAATGAGGCAAAAATGTGATTCTTTGTCAAACTAATTTGCATATGCCCACCCAGAATCCTTTGCGGTAGTAACATCACTGCACATTTGTGATTTTTGTGGGAAAAGCAAATCTTATGGCTTGACTGGTGTGCAGATTTTTGTTTAACATTGTATTGACTAAATATAAATATAAAGATATCAGGTTTCTAATTTTTATTAATTATCTTTAAACAGTAGCATGCGTTCTTTAGATCCACTTGGTATTCTGTGTTATTCAATATGCAAAAAGATATGCAAAAGTTCCTTGATAAGAGTACCTTGGGTAATGTAGACTTCAAAATGGTATTACTTAGTGTAGACATAGTGTATGGATCTATTTTCTGTCATTTCTGATATTACAATTTTCCTTGATTTTAAATAAAATATTTATTTTGTGTCTTTAAGATTTCATAGGTACAAGTCCTAGCAAAGGAATGCATTCCCCTACGTATCTTCACCAGAGCAGTTCTGTGCTAGATAATGATGTCTTCAGTCCCTCAGGTCCTCTATGCATGGAATCTCACCTACCAGGTATTTTCATCTGCATTGTTAATTGCTGAATTTTATTAAAATGAGGTCTAATATTAACTAGAAGGTTCCTGGGTGACTTGTTTTTTTCTTGTGTGTCCTAATTTTCTTGATCGGTTTAAGCAGCAAATTGCATTATTTATTATATTATGTATTTTTACACTTTTTGTGTTTTAACTTATTTAAAAATACATTTCCTTCTCCTAGTTCTATTCCATTATGCAATGACACTAGCCAAGGATGTTCCCATCAAAGGGACACTGTAGGCACCCATACCACTTCAGCTCATTTAAGTGGTCTGGTTGTAATGTCCCATGTCACTTAACCCTACAGTGGTAATTATTGTAGTTTCTGAGAAATTGCAATAATTACTTTGCAGGGTTAAGTCCTCCTCTAGTGGCGGTCTTCAAGAGGGACTTCCGGGTGCGTAGACGACTTTTGGTCGTCTAAACCAGTGTTCCCCAACCCAGTCCTCATGGACCATCAACAGTCCAGGTTTTGTCAGAATCTCCATTGGAATAAAACAGGGAAATACATAAATCCTGGACTGTTAGTGGTCCACGATGACTGGGTTGGGGAACACTGGTCTAAACGACACTGGACGTCCTCACGCTATGCATGAGGACCTCCGTCACCGGAATCCCCATAGGAAAGCGTTTAATGACGCTTTCTCAACAGTAAGTCACCCCATGACCTCCTTACCTGTTTAATGTAAATGAACAATACTCCATAGTTCCAGGGTATATAGTGAATTTCTCCAAGTCATAAGTTGCTGTAGCTTTTGATCCAACTGATGAAAATAAGCTTTGACATACTCATATCAGAAAATCCATTTACTTATTTGAGAGTGAAGATTTTGCCTCACAAATCAATTATGCTCACTAAATTACACTCCCTTGATGAAAGCAATTAAACAAGATTACTTTATCTATATCTTGGATAAGATGCTTAACTATGATAACGATGAAATTACTTCCAAGATTTTTATATCTCGTCCAAGCCCTCCCAAAAACAGTCCCAACTTACAAACTCAAAACTCTACAAAGGCACATAAACACCTTTATATGGGCTGGCAAACTGCCATGTATATCCATGCTAATTCTGTATGCCCCTACATTGCATGTTGGCCTAGCACTCCCACACTTAAAAAAATATCTCTATGAAGCACAACTTACTCAAATAGTTAATTGTAACAACTCGATTCCTGCTAAATGCTGGGTTGATATTTAGAAGGACATTATGCTACCTGATATGTTACCTTACTTCATCTGGCTCCCCAAAAAATTATGCACAACGTTTCTGCTTTAGTGCCCCCCTATCTTGCCCTTGCTAGACATGTGAAAATCTACCTCATTAAAGTTTACATTCTCGTTTAACTACTCTTTGCTAATTCCGCTATGCAGAAATACGTTATTCACCGCCGGGATGCAACCCCAAGATTATTACAAGACAGCCACTAGAGGGCACTTCCTGATTCATAGCAAAGATGTTCTTTGCTAGAACGTCGCTGGACGTCCTCACGCTGTGTGAGGACCTCCAGCGTCACTCAATTCCCCATAGTAAAGCATTGAAAATCTTTTTCAATGCTTTCCTATGTGGAGACCTAATGCGCGTGTGCGACATTGCCGCGCATGCGCATTAGGTTTCCTCAGCCGGCGGGCGGGATCAGTCTCGCCGACCGGCTGACGTGATTACTGGGAGGAGCGATGCCGACCCGAAACCACTGCCGAGGGACATCGGCTGGGTCTCAGGTAAGTGACTTGAAAGAATTTCAACCCTTCCGCTACCTGGGATGGGAGGTGGGAGGGAGAGGGGACCTGCAGTGCCAGGAAAATGGATTGTTTTCCTGGCAATGGAGTTTTCCTTTAATTAATGGAAACTAAACCATTCACATGTCAAGACAGGTTCTAACTGATGAATGACCTTTGTTTCACTGAAAACTTTTTTTTACTATAGCTCAGTGTCTAAAGGTGTTGGATGAGTTGTGTATGCATTCAGGTTTTGTATTTTTTTGTGTGTTTTTAAACTTTCTTTAAAAACTTAATCTGTAACATACACTGCTCAAAAAAAAATAAAGGGAACACAAAAATAACATCCTAAATCTGAATGAATTAAATATTCTTCTGAAATACTTTGTTCTTTACATAGTTGAATGTGCTGACAACAAAATCACACAAAAATTAAAAAATGGAAATCAAATTTTTCAACCCATGGAGGTCTGGATTTTGAGTCACACTCAAAATTAAAGTGGAAAAACACACTACAGGCTGATCCAACTTTGATGTAATGTCCTTAAAACAAGTCAAAATGAGGCTCAGTAGTGTGTGTGGCCTCCACGTGCCTGTATGACCTCCCTATAACGCCTGTTCATGCTCCTGATGAGGTGGTGGATGGTCTCCTCATACCACCCTCACAGAGTCTGTTTCTGATCGTTTGAGAAGACACATTCACATTTGTGGCCTGCTGGAGGTCATTTTGCAGGGATCTGGCAGAACTCCTCCTGTTCATCCTTGCACAAAGGCGTAGATAGCCGTCCTGCTGCTGGGTTGTTGCCCTCCTACGGCCTCCTCCACGTCTCCTGATGTATTGGCCTGTCTCCTGGTAGCGCCTCCATGCTCTCGACACTACGCTGACAGACACAGCAAACCTTCTTGCCACAGCTCGCATTGATGTGCCATCCTGGATGAGCTGCACTACCTGAGCCACTTGTGTGAGTTGTAGACTCAGTCTCATGCTACCACTAGAGTGAAAGCAGCGCTAGCATTCAAAAGTGACCAAAACATCAGCCAGGAAGCATAGGAACTGAGAAGTGGTCTGTGGTCACCACCTGCAGAACCACTCCTTTATTGGGGGTGTCTTGCTAATTGCCTATAATTTGAACTTTATTGTCACTCAGTGTTGCTTCCTAAGTGGACAGTTTGATTTCACAGAAGTGTGATTGACTTGGAGTTACATTGTGTTTAAGTGTTCCCTTTATTTTTTTGAGCAGTGCATAATGTGTACATGATATAATTTAGCCTAATTCCATAGACATAATATGAGGGGATGCACCATAATTAAATGCAAGTAAAAAAACTGGTGGTATGGAGGGAAGGACATTGCATTTAGAAACATGACTGGTTACCTATTGATCTTTTATTATATGATCACAAGCTTGGAAACCAACTGGGACAGCACCTGGTGATGGAGAGAAAAGATTAAATAGTGCATTTGTCTCTCCTACTATATTATTTTCCATATTTGTGCCAACTGATGGAAAGGGTAATAATAAATTGGGCATTCTGTTTTATTTTATTTTTTAATTTACATTGGACAAAGATTGGTTGCTAGTAGTTTAGGCTATACAATCCCATCATGTAAAAAATAATTATTGTGAGCAATCATCTACATTGCTCTTCCCATTTGAAGTGTTTGAAAAAATATATATAACATTCTCAGTCATCAAATAAAGTGTAAAACTGTTTCTTTTATCACTGCATTCCCACTTTCCAAATATGTACAAAGTGAATTGCATGCTGGCCATATGTATCCTTTTCCTTATTACATCCCCAGCATCTGCTTTTTCTCAACAGCTGTACTTGTGTAATCCTTTTTTTTTCATAAAAGGCTTGTTTATCTTTTAAATTTATATTTAAAAAAAATATAAAATAACTTCAGCCAGTTCAGGCTAGAAAAAGCCAAATAAAAAAATGGATACATAGAGGTTATATAGAAACAGTGTTACATTTCTGTTCCTTTCTGTATGCTTGCAATGACTGACA